ATGTTTGATGGTGAAATTAATTGTGCGCCTGGCACTGATTGGCCAATCATCATTGTTCCTGCAGCGTTATTGGACCATTTGTAAACAGGAAACCAGTTTTCATGTCACAGTGTCAGGTGATGGATGGATGGATTCAAAGATCTCAGTCAGGTAAAGTTCCTAACTTCCTAAAACAGTTTCAGTCTTCCTTCCTTCAGCTTCATTTATAAATGACAATGTAGAATATGATTACAGCTATTTATCCATTAATTTAGCTGAATGGGCTACTCTTTATACCGCTACCTAACCATACCAGCTGTTTACCCATCTTGGCTTAACTTGAGTTTTTTCCCAGTTATGTCATCAAGCTATTTACATCAAGCTATTACTACCAACTTTTCCCTGTTTGGAGCCCCATGAATGAAAACAACCTGTATCACTTTAACAGACCTGCAGCACACGAGTTTCCCGTGTTGGAGTGATTCAAAAATATTAGAAATGCAGTCAGAGGTTTGTTCTCTTTACCAGGAATGTGGCCCAACGAGGTGCAACAAAAAACTTTGTTAAGCATTTTTACAACTCCATCACCATGAGGATTCTCTCACCTTAAAGTAGCGATAAATTGCCACCACGGTCATGAGTGCGATGCTCGCCGAGCGGTTGGAAAACATCAGGAAGAGGTTGATCCGACACATGCCGTCTCCAAACACCCAGTGACTCCTGAGCAAGGCGTCGATCCTCAGAGGTAGACTCACTAGAGCGAGGAAGTCTGCGATAACCAGGTTGAAGAGGAAGAGGCTGTTGGGGTTCCACGCCTTCAGTTTGAAGCAGAAGATCCACAGAGCGACCAGGTTTCCCAGCAGCCCCAGAATGACGTCGATGATGAGGACGGGTGGCATGATCTTACCTTCCAGCCCAATACCGACAGGTGGGCAGCCACCATCGGCAGTGGGGGTGGTGAGGTTTGAGGCGGTGGTGAAGTTTGGCTCTGAGGTCATTTTGGTGACTCGGGCAGAAAGTCCTTGAAGTTTATTGAGGATTATTCTTAAGTTTGACTGTTAAAAATATCTGTGGGTTTGGTGGTTAAATCTGAGCGAGGGGGAAAGTCTGTGTGACCACACCTTGGAAAGTTTCCAAACTCTTGAAATTTGAAGCTTCCTCTTGTTCTTCCTTTTTTTTCTGTTTTAAAACAGCAGAATTTAGATTTTTATCAAAGATGACATGAATCACTTCCACTCTTTCACAAGTCCTGGACATGCTGGGATCCAAAATATTAAACAAACAGAAGAAAGACCTAAAAATGTTTAATTAAGTCAAAATACTTTCTTTTACAGTGAAACAACAAATGACAAAGTTCACAAGTTAGAGTCAAATGTCAATCATATACATTCTCACGTCTGTGATATTCTTTTCAATATTCTTGATATTTATAATTGACTGATTTGTTTATTTTAGTGCAATTTCTTAAATTTGTAAACAATGTAACATATTATTTAAATAGCTGAGTCTGTTACTGTTACTGTCTTGGAGCAACTGTAACCTACACAGTTTCCTTAAGGATTAATAAAGTATTCTGATTATGATTTAACAAAGAAGTGTGCCATTACGGTGTTATTGTGCCATATAATATTCAATCAACATGAAGTTTTAATGGCCTGAAGTTCCCAGCTACAGGATTCAGTTATTAAATTACAATAAACACAGATAGCTCTATCATAGCATCACAGCTGTTCCAGGAAAAATAAACATTTTTAAAAATATGCATGGAAGGTTATTTATTTTTAGTTTACATGTGGCACTTTTAAGGAGTTTACACTGAGAATATATGTCAGCACACGCGGATTAAACAGACCTGTGTATGTTTCCACATCTGATCCAGAGAATCAGAGGAGATTAGATGAATCCAGTACTCACCAGTCCCGACGCGAGACGTTCATTCATAAAGTGTCAGAGGCCCACCAGGGCCTTCCTGAACATGGAGCTGGAGAAGATGTAGATGATGGGATCCAGGGCCGAGTTCAGGAAGTTCAAGCCCAGAGACACGATGCTGAGCTGGGTGAATCTGTAGAAGCTGGTGCAGTCCCACGGGCGGTACGAGCGGATGATCCACACTCCGATGGTTGTCACCGTGGTGGGCAGAAAGCATACCATGAATACTGCGACGATGGCGATGCACACTCGCATCGCCTTGCGCACTTTGTCGGGTTTGCCCATACGTCGTTCCTTCAGGAAGCTGGAGATCCGGATGGAGCAGAACAGCAGCATGGCCATCGGGAAGATGAACTCCAGCACGGTGAGGATGCGATGCATGGCCACCAGGATGATGATGGCTCGCGACGCCTCTTTGTAAGA